CATGGGGGCAGGGTGACAAGTTTTATCTGCCTGGCGAGCTGCGTTCTGTCCCTCGCTGCTCTTTCCTCTCCGGTTTGCATCTTTCCTTGTGAGCCTGGTCCTCACGCAGGGCACTGCAGTTACACAATTATTCAACAGTCCCTGGGGGTGAGACCAGCAGTCACTGAGCCCCCTGTCATCCCCTGCTGCTGTCTGTTTTTAAATTGGTTCCCCTCTGCCTCTGATACAGAGGCAGCAGCACAGGGTGGCGGCAGCCCCTGTCCAGGGTGCGGGCTGAGCTCCTAGACCAGGCACAAGGCAAAAACTGAGCTGGGCTAGGCTGCCTGCCCGCCTGGCTCCTAATACACTTTAAATGCAGAGCCCCAGTGGGGGTAGGTCCCAGACCCAGTGTGAGCCAGGACTGAGCCAGGCTGCTAAACAATTTACTAGCGGGGGAGGGAAGATATGCTTGTATTTTATAGCATTAACCTATAAGCTTTTGCTTATCGGTTGATCAACTACACTAATACGTCCCTAGAATAAACTCCACGGTCCTTTTCCTTGAGTGGAAATGGGGAGGTGGGGGGGGGGGGAGAGGAACCCAGGGGCACCCTCTATTTTGGGTTCCAGCCCAAGGCCCTGTGATAGAAGCTGCCTGTGTGAATCCTCGACACTTGCTATAAGACAGCTCCAAGACCCCATGGCTACTTCCCCAGCCCCTTCCTTCTCCCCAGTCCCTCCTCCTAGTGTTCAGTTGTTGTCTCCTTTCCACCTCTCCCAGTGGCGCCTCCCTCAGTCCTCTCCGCAACACGCGCCCCAACTGCAGGCAAAGCTTCTTTTATAGCCAGTCTGAACCGGCTTTCTTAATTACCCCCAGGGGTCCTAATTGTCCTAGGCTGGCCTGACTGTGCAGGGCTGGTCAATTAGCCCCAGGTGTTCTTCTGCCCCTGAAGGCTGGTTCTAAACTAACCCCTCCCTGTTACTCAGGGAACAGAGATCTCCTCAGTCTGAGGCTTATACATCTCCCCCCTCCCCCACACACTACTTTTTTATGGCCTGCTCTGACCCTGTCACCCACATTTATAAGCTGAGTCCCCTCTACACTCTGGAATGGCCCATCACAGCCTTGTCTTCTGCTCTTTCAGTCTGTGACTGCAATGGGAAGTCCCGCCAGTGCATCTTTGACAGGGAGCTGCTCCAAGAAACAGGAAATGGCTACCGTTGCCTCAACTGCATGGACCACACAGTGGGCGTTCGCTGCGAGCAGTGCCAAGAGGAGTTCTATCACAAGCGGGACGGAGAGGCCTGCCTGCCCTGTCACTGCAACCCCAGAGGTACCTGAGCAGCTAGGTGGGGACATGGGAGGAGGGGCATGTCCGTGAGGAAGGGGGGCTGGGCTTGACGGGATCAAATCGAACCGCTGTCCTGGAGCTGCTGTGTGTCGCCAGTGAGAACAATTCCTGCCTCATTCTGGTGGATTAAACTGAGTGAATCCCAAGCTGCGTCTCTCCCAAACGCTCTCTGTTCCAGCTAGGCCAGGCCAGTTGTGGGAAGAAGATAGACCCTGGGCCCACCCTGGGAGAGGGCCCCTAAACTGTGGCTCTGTGACCTGCCGCGCCACTCGGGTTCGAAGTGTGGCCGGGCCACACCTGAGTCACATCAGATCACAAAGTCCCCCCTTCAGATTTGGCCTCCTTCCCGCGGGATGTCACGTGCTGCCAGGCCAAACCTGAGGGGGGCTGCGCCTCCATGTGCCTGAGGGGAGAGGCAGCAGGCTCAGCCCTGTGGGACAGGCGCGATATTGGCAGGGTGAGTGCAGGGCACGAGGGCTCAATTTCAGAGTTTGCCCCCAGCCTCCAAAGAGCTGTGTGCAGCCAGATTCTGCTGGGACAGTCACGCCGCCGGCGTCCCAGTTGTCAGCAGCTCTGCCATGCTCTGAGGCCAGGTCTACCCGGGGGGAGAAAGTTGAATCAAGATACGCAACTCCAGCTACGAGCATAGTGGCACTGGAGTCAACGTACCTTAAGCTGAATTTGTGCAGCCTCCACGCTGCAGGTCGACAGGAGAAACTTTCCCATCAACTCCCCTTTCTCCTCGCGACCCCACGGAGTACCGCAGACGACAGAGGGCAATTTGGCGGGTCCTTCCTAGACCCACTAAGTTGAATTTCTGAAGATCAGTCTCTGGAATAGGGATGTAATAGTGTAGTCAATTAACCAATAAGCTTTTGCAACCCCAGAGCTACCTGAGTAGCTAGGTGGGGACATGGGAAAAGGTGGGGGAGGGGCTGTAGACTACATGCATTCCCCCCGTCTCCTTGCCAGTAAATTTTTTAGCAGACTGGTCAACACCCGGGCTCAGTCCTGGCTCGTGCCGGGTCCGGGACCTACCCCCACTGGGGTTCTGCATTTAAAGTGTATTAAGAGCGAGGTGGGCAGGCAGCCTGGTTCAGTTCCGGCTCATGCCAGGTCCAGAAACTCAGTCCCCCACCTCATCTGAGACAGGGGCTGCTGCCACCCACACGACAGGGTGGCCAGAGTGCACTGGCTGCCGGCCCCGCCCCCTGAGACTATAGAGTAGTTGAGTAACCAATAAGAACTCATGAGGTTAATCGACTTTTCAATTAACTGATATTTAACATCCCTACTCTGGAGTGTTGCTCTATGGGTAAGTGTAGATCTGTCTTTAGGGAGCTCATGCAGCTGAAATCCTCCTGGAGAGTGAATACCCCGTCGTTGCAGTAACAGCCTCCTTACTACCCCTTTCCAGCGTGGGGGGAAGGAATGGGTCCCACCTATCTCAGCAGGTCGCATCTTGCAGCAGCTGCGCTATCTGCAGTGCCTTTCCCCTGTACCGTTTTCATAATACGGTATCGTAACCCTGCAGGCCAGCGCGAGGTGTTCTGTGGGCCTGGCTCACAGAGAGCGAAGATCCAAAATTAATTCACCCCATTGAATTAGTATGAGCTCTTGCCAGTTCAGGTCCAGCAGACGTGACGAAATTCATGGTGAGGGCCCAGAAGAAAGGATGCTCTCGAACCACCCCCTGCCCCCTTTGCTGGGCTGCCGTCTCAGTGTGATGACTTGGGAGGTGCTAATTCATTGTTCATTTCAGGCTAAGTTTGCTGAACTTGGTGGCTAAAACCTGCACCAGAATGTCACCCCTGCCATAGATTAACGCACTTGCGATGGAGAGAAGGACTGAGCGAGAGCAGCTCAGCCTTGCGAGGCACTTACCCTATATGAAAAAACACACAGCCTGGGGTTGTGTAGCCACACAATGAGTCATGGGAGTTCATCACCCTTGAGCAATGGCAGTAAGAACATAGATCTCAGGGAAAGCTTTGGGGGCTGGTTCCAGGACAGGCCTGGCGTTCGAGGAGCACACAAGATAGTAGGCTGCCTAGCAGGGTGAGACCAGAGCGACTGGTTTTCCCTTTCCCTCTTCACTCTACCGTCTGCCCTATGTTATAGGCTCTTGGGATAACTTTTAATGAGCTGTGTACCCTAAAGCCCAATGATCATCCGGGTGCACAGGCACGTCCTGTGAGTGGGGGATGCATAATCCTGTATTAACGTGCATAAAATCGCCTGCAGCTTCCAGCAGGTAAAACCTGCCCCCTGGTGTGACTGCGTTAGCTTCCCAGGGTGTTCGCTACCTGGCCTTTGTCGTCGCATGCCCTGCTGCGCGCTGCGCTCCATCTCTGGGGCTTCCAAGCCTCTGAGCCGCTCCGATCAGCTGCCCCTTCTTAAACTCAGCCTGGCGCTGAATTAAATCCCTCACGGCCACTTGTGACCGTCATGCTGGCTCTCAGCCCACAAGCCCTTTGGACCTGTCACTGCTCTGTTCGGGGTTTCACCTTAGCAGGGTGATGGTGCAGGACCATCGGGTGGCCGTTCAGAGGTCTGCATGAAATGCATTTGCTGGCCTTCATCCAGAGACCACTGGACATCACACAAGAGCTTAGCCAAAGGCCTGGACCTCGATGAGCCCTGATCCCGGACCCCAGTTGCCCCCCACAGTTTGCAGTATTCAGCATTCTCGCAAGAGGCAGTGGATTAACGAGGTCGTGGAGGGGGCGGCATAGTTCTGTTCCCACGGGTGAAGTATGATGTCTGGGGATGGGAGGTAATGAGCAGATGCTCCCTATTCTGTTGTACCTGTTTGGTGGATAAACAGAAGACTTTCCGTCACCAAAGTTGCGGTCTGCTACTTCTCCCTAGCACTGCCACCATAGATGGCGGGTGAAGGCCCAGCTGGGGAAGGCAAGCCCCAGCCCCACCCTTCAGTAACCTTCCCCGCCCCCCACCATGGGGCCAAGCTCCGCCCACCCTAGCCCAATCTTTCCTGGCCAGACCACCTAGAAGGCTGGGGCTGCTGGCCATGGCTCCAGCCTTCCTGGTGGCTGGGGAGTGTAGGCATTTTTTGGAAAGGCAATGCTCTCCCTTTCCTGCATTGTCCACCTCCCATGACTGCCACTTTAAATTAGGAAATATTAGCTAAAAAACACGCAATGTAAATGCCCTGGATGCTGTTTATGGCGCACTGACACATGGCTGCTCCTTCTTGTGACGAGGGGGGATTCACAGTTTTGAGATCTCGAAGGGAATCCCAACCGAGGTGTTTGCCTTGTCACGGTGATTATATAGCGGGGAGGGATGTCTGTTGTTTAGTTCTGACGTGCATAGCGCTTCAATGACAGGCATAGCGCGACTTTACCATTTAAGAAAGGAAAGATTTTTCTGCACAGAAAAATCTGGCCTTTCTTAAATGCTTCAGTCGCACTATGCCTATCAATGAAGCGCGGCGCGCGTCCATTTTCTGCAAACATGTCAGGTTGTCTTTTGTTAACCTCTCTGAATTTCTATTTGGCGTTTTCTTCCTTTTGTTGGTGTGGGTTGAAACTCAAGGAGTGGCAATATGGCTCCCAAGTTGTCTAGGAGGAATGGAAACCCGTGTGCACAGAGAGCGCCCTGTGAACACGGCAGTGTGAACCTGAATCTCTTCTCTACTGCTGTCTGTTCCCCTATGGCCCAAGCAGGCGGGCAGGACAGGGAGTTAGTTAGCTGGGGATAGAGAGCGACAGTTCAGAAAGACGGTGTGACGTGATAGCATGCAGGCAGACTTGGTCAAGCATCCTGGTCCAGACCCTCGGTTGATGTAGATTGTTGAGCGGCATTGAAGTCAATGGCATGATACCTGTTTATGATCTGCCCCAGGGGAACCAGTTCTAGGATTACCTCGCGTGAATAGGACTGCTGAGACTCTTTGCCCTTTAAGAGTCTGTCGCCTGCTACCACAGTTTATCCTTTGCACGCTGTCGTAATCTTTTGTGTGGGGATCATAGCAGTTTCCACGGCCAGAACTAACACCCCACGCACACACACTGACCTCATGAGCAGCCCCGCCCAGGTACAAAATCAGCGTCTGATCTGCAATCTGCAAACATGGTTTGTGAATATCCACAGATCTGCTGGGCTCTGTGGCTGGAGGAATTAGCAGTAGAGGTAATGGAGATATTAATACTGCCTTCAGCCACTTATCTCAGGTATCCCCGATACGGGGGAAATGACTATACAGGAGTGCAGGGGTAGTCGAACTGCAGCTTGGGTTCTTTTTTACACTTACTGTGCAGCTCTCAGTGATCCCCATGTCCCCCCATTCTCCACCCACCACTCTTGAGGGGGAGCGTGGGACCTTGCAGCAGGCTGGTGGGGTAGGTGCTTCTGCTCATAGGAAGGGGGGTGGATGCCCCGGCAATTGTGTCCCAGTTCTTGAACTGCTGAAGATTGTCGTACTGTACACAGCGTGGAGGGCCAGCACATCTGGCCACACCTGCAATAGGATAGGATCAATAGGGGGTCGACTATTTTTCCTGCTCATATTTTTCTGCCGGGCCCCCGTGGGCGTTAAATTCCGTCAGGATGTTGGCAACTTGAGAGGGTGCAGAGATGGTGAGACTATTGAATTCTATGCTTCCCTGCTTCCCGCAGGCTCCCTCGGTCTGCAGTGTGACAACCACGGCCGGTGCAGCTGCAAGCCCGGTGTGATGGGCGACAAGTGCGACAGGTGCCGGCCAGGATTCGACTCCTTCTCAGAGGCTGGGTGCGAGCCAGGCCATCCGGCACCGTAAGTACCGGGTAGGGGCCAGGCTGGCCTCTGCAGCACACTGCGAGCCTTTGGGTGGACCACATGGTGACTGCAGACCGTTTATTCATGTGCACGGTACAGGGTGTTTGGTAGCTTGACTCCCCCTTCCCCGTGATGGGACACAGGCCTCTCTCTGGCCCTTATTCCTAACATGGTGGCCATTACCATTCTAAAAGGGGCACATGCTGATCATGAGGACAGAAAGTGAAGTGCTCATTAATAACACTCCAGTGCACCTCCATGCCCTAACGTTAGCGCCCCCCCCCCCCCCCCCACCTTCTGACATTCACAGGCCCTGAAGGCCTGCAGTTGCTTATTCAGACCCCTCTGGAGTACAGAAACCTCTAAGACAACATGTTCAAAGCTGATGGAAACAAATGTTTAGATGCAATTAACCTGTGGAACTCACTGCCCTATGATATTGCAGAGGCCACAAATTTAAGTGTAGTTAGTTGTTTGCATAATCAGAACTTGAACAGCTGCAACAAATACATGAAATGAAATGAACCTTTTGGGTTTCTGTATGGCATTCAGCATAATGGTGTGCTGGTCCTGAGCAGAGCCCCGAGGCAGATAAATAAAACAGGGACATGCGGGGTCATGCTCCAAGGCACAACCCAGACTGGAAGAGACAGGAGTTAGGAAGAAACTGCCCCCATGGGCAGGTTAATCCAGAATTGTCCTTATGGGGTTTCTCGTGTCTTCCTCTCATATGTCTTGTGCTGGCTACTGTCCAAGACTAGGGATGTAAGAGTAGTCAAATAGTCAACTACCCGATAAGCCTAGGCTTATTGAGTAGTCGAGTTGACTACTCAAATTCCCCCCCCCCCCCCACTGCCTCTATATCAGAGGAAGCAAAGGTGGGGGGAGGAGCAGGAGCTGGTGGGAGGTTGACTAATCGAGTAGTCAATAGAAATTCCATAAACTACTCAATTAGCTGATTAATTGAAATGTAACATCCCTATCCGAGACAGGGTGCTGGACCTCAGGGCTGATCCAGTGTGAAGTGAGTACATAACCCCCAGGTTGAGAGCAAGCATCAGGAGCAGTGACCAGCTTGCTGTGTCTATATTATTAAGCAGGATGGAGTCGCAGCTTGACAGGGGCGAAGCTGAGAACCACTGCAGTGTAGGGCGGCCCCGCTATAAGTCGCCCCAGTACACGTCGGTTCTGCGCTAAAGTCATTGGCTCTGGTAGGAACTGATGCGCTATAAGTCCTCCCATTCTCTGTTTTTTAAGTCGCCGGGAGAAAAAAACAATGTTCACAAATGGAAGTCAGACGTGGGAAAAAATTCCCCGCTTTAAATTGTTTCGCTATAAATCTGAGGGGTTTTTTTTAACTATCTTGGACTTGTTACGAGGACGGCCTGTATGGCAATTCCTGTGTTTCTAGTATGTCACCTTGTACCACTACCGTCGATGGGCCAGGTGTCTACTGGGCCATGTGCATACCGGCTGTTTCCATGTGACTACGGTAGTTGAGTGGAACTGGAAATTAGGGATGTAATAGTGCAGTCGATTAACCGATAAGCAAAAGCTTGTCGGTTAATACTATAGACTGCATACATTCTCGCCCCTTTCTTGCAAGTACATTTTTTAGCAGGCTGGCCAGCAGCTTGGGCTGGGTCCAGGACCTACCTCTGCTGCGGCTCTGCATTTAAAGTGTATTAGGAGCCAGGCAGGCAGGCAGCCCGGCTCAGTTCTGGCTATTACTGGGTCTGGGAGCTCAGCCCACCCCGGACAGAGGCTGC